GGGGAATCCGCCCGTGGAGGCGTGGACGCGCTCGGCGGCGGCGACGCGCCTGCGCCTCGGTGGTGCGGGTCCCCGGGATGCCTGCCGGGCGGGGGCGGGGCGCTCGCCCGCAGTCGCTCCTCGAACCTCCACCGCAGCGCCCGAGTGATCCCCACCCTACGGGGAGGAGGGCCGCCGAGGCTCGAACTCACAGGTACAGAACTCAGGCGGGAAGAGGCTAATCGCGATCTGACCCCGAACCTGGGCACTTACCTGATCGGTGGGGGTACTTGCTGTTGTTACTCCTGGGACTTCTCTGAAAGGGCAGATCCTAGATCAGATCAATAAGGGGAAGGTGGGGGTGCTTGGGAAACTTCCTTCCAGTGCCTTCTTCTCACTTGAGAGTTCCCATTTGCTCTTTTGGATCAGACACAAAATGGAATTATTAGCTTTGGAACTTTAAAACTTACTTGGAAACATAAGTCATACATCTCATTTTCCAGACTGGGACATCTGGAACATTCCCTAGGACGTGGTTGGGGCAAATGCTAAATCGCTCTCTTTAGATGGGGATGGGGGGCCACCGCTGTGTACCTTGTTCCCAGGCTCTTCTGGGGTGGGGTCCAGAGTAGCTGCTTTTATTCTTCATCTGTATCTTCGGGGCTTCCATGTATCAGGCTCTCACTGTGTGCCAGGCACTGTGTAAGCACTTTGATTTAGCCCTCAGGACAACCTTCTCTGAGGTCAAGGAGCAAATGACTTGTCCAAGGTCACAATGTAATGTCAGCAGACAAAAGACCTTTTTTGTCTCCCCCCACACCTGTGCCCTTAACCCCTTGCTCTCTATCTCTTCTGGGATGTCTGGAACCTAGAAGGATGTTCGGAGAAGGCGAACCCGATTGGGGTGTCATTCTGAGGTGACACGGGCATCCAAGCGTCCCTACCAGGGTGTGGATGCTTGCTGCCATGGTGGGTGGTGGTAAAGGGAAATTGTATCTGCTGCAGCATTTTGTTAAGCAGCTGCTGCTCATTAGGGGCGCCTGCCCCTCTAATCCAATCAACCAATTCCCTGTAAAACATTTATGGGAACAATCTGTGTAAAATTCAACCCTCTGTCTGCTTGGCCAGGGGCTTAGGGAGCTGCTGCATCCTTCAGGTTCCAGGGGGGCAGACATGGCCCTCTCTGGGCCTCAGAGACGGAACACTGCATCTCACTCCTCCCTCGTCCTCACTGCCTCGTGGACCTCCTTCCCTCTTCCCTCTTCCCTGCCTGCTGCGAGGGTTCAGTCATCCAAACATTAATTGAAATTACAAGGGCACTACGGTTTGACCCAGCAATTTCTCTGCCAGGAATTTATCCCACAGAGATTCTTGCAGTTGTGCCAAATGACAGGTGAACGAGGATGCGTCTTGCAGTATTGTTTCTGATAGCACGAGGCTTTCTCAATGTCTATCAGAAAGGATCCACTGTATGTGCATATCTATCGGACACCGTGGGCCAGAGAATGTTCTAAACACTTTACGTAGATTGACTCATTTAACCCTCACAGCTACCCTTTACATGAGATACTTTAATTTTAGTAACTCATTTACAGGTGAGGAAAGGGAGACCCAGAGGGAACAGGTGACTTGCCCAAGCTTCACATAGATAGTAAGCAGCAGTACCAGGCAGCCCATATTCTAAATCCCTATGCGAATATAACTTCTCTGTCTTTATGTGCATGGAGAATTTCCAAAAAGTGACCCAAAAGCAATCGGCGGAAGTTGCCTCTGGGGAGAAGAATTAAAGGTGTGGAGTAGGAGGGGAACTCCCTTTTTCCTGGGTCCCCTTTTGTACCATTCTGTTTTACCAGGTGCACGTGTTCGTTTCATAATTTAGAGGCGTTTCTGAGTCCCCAAAGCATGTTATTGCTAGTCCTTACCTCAACCCTGGGAGTGGGTAATATCATCCTCATTTGGTAGGTGAGGAAGTTTGAACTCCCTGCATGGGCTGGCAGCCACGTGACTGGGGAATGACAAGAGGGGGTTGGCTCTCAAGCCAGTGCTCATTCCCTTAATTTATATTAGCCCCGTGGGCTTGCAAGATTCAGAGGGAAGAAAAACAAGGTTCAGAGGGTTAAAAGCATGGACGCCGGGGCCAGCTTGCCTGTGTTCAAGTCCTGACTCAGCCACTCACCCTCTGTTGTGACCTTGGGCAAGTCACTTACCCTCTCCAAACCTCAGCGAGGTTTTCCTCTTTGTGAGGATTAAAAGACTTACCTCCGTGTCAAGTGCTTGGAACAGGGCCTGTCTCATCACAAGCGCTCAAGAAATGTTAGGTATTTTTATATTATTGCCCCGAACATTGTCTTCCCCGATTTCAAGCTCAGAGCAGTTCCTCCTCGCAGCTGGCATGTCCAGCTGTGCATGCTCCAGTCCTTTCCCGAAAGGGCAAGGCCCGGCCTCCCTGTGCTCCAGCCTCTAGTGGAAGTCCTTGGGAACTGGTTCTCTGGGGTTATCCCACCGTGGTGGCTGTGATCAGAACCGATCACATCGCCAAGAGCTGGAAGAAGGGGCAGAGCCGCAGGGCTGGTGTGGCCCAGATCCAGGGTGAGGCTGCGACGGGCGGCCTCCTAGTTCGGGATGTTCCCAGCGCCTTCCCACCGCTTATGCTTGGAGGGAGAAGGGCCTCAAAATAGCTGTTGCTTCCCCAGCACGGCGCTAGGCCAGGGACAGGAATAGACATCTGGGGGTGGCCGCCTCAGCTTTCCTCAGGGGCCCTGGGGAGGGGGACAGGAATAAGCAGAGGCCAGACTCCTCCCAACGTGGGGAGATAGTGCGCTGGTCAATATGCAGTGACCTCCTGTGACAGTCCAGCCCATGGAAAATATGGCCCCGGCCGGGGCTGGCTGCTCAGCAGGTCCCCAGCCCCGGCCAGAGAGTGGCCTGGGCCTGGATTCTACACTGGCTCCTGGCTCCTACAGTTCTCTCTTGGCAGGTGGGGAAACTGAGGCCCAGAGAGAGATTCATGTGCTTGGGACCACAAAGCTGCTTTGAGAAGCCAAGCTGACAGGAGGAGCAGGCCTTGGGTGTTGAGAGGCAGTCTGGGTGGTGGTTGGAGGGTGAAAGGGCTCAGACTGTCTCGATCCAAATCTAACCTCCACTACTGAAGACCTGCGTGCTCTTGGGCCTCAATCTCATTACCTGTAAAATGCACATCGTAACAGTACCCACCTCCTGTAGTGGTAGCGAAGACTGAAAGAGTTAATACTTGTGTGCTGTTATGATTATTATTGTCTTATCACCAGACCCCTTCCTCATTCATTCCTAAGGCATTGGCTGAACAGCCACCATATGCCAGGCACCGTGCTAGGCCTGGATCCTGCAGCTCCCGTGTGGCAAGAAGAGACCAGTTACCTTTCAGAGAGCCTGCCATGGACCAGTTACTGAGCTAAGCATTTTTACCGATATCATCTCATCAATACCTCTCTATGAGGCGCCATTATCACAGAGGAGGGAAGTGTGCCCAGAGAGGTGAAGTCACTTCTTCAGGGTCACACAGCCAGGAGGTAGTAGACTCAGGATTTGAACCCCGAGCTGCCCGCCTACATAGCTCATACAAGGAGCCACTGCATGTCACTGTCTCTTTACTGGGGAGACAGATGAGTCAGACAAGTCGTTCTGTTCGCGCAGTCAGGCTTTGGGCATATGGGAGGGCTCCACTCTCCCAGCCTTGACAGTCATTATTCTGGCCCCAACACAGTCCCGTATGAGATGTGAGGGGGTTCCCAGCCCGCACTCCCTAATTCCCCTGGGTTTTCCTGGGTACTTGCTATGTGCCAGGCCTGTACTAGGCTCTGAGAACACAAAGACGACTTTGTTCCTACCCTGAAATTGCTCACAGTGCGGCGAAATGTCAACAACAATTCAGAGGCAGCTACTGTGATGAGGGTTAGAAAGGGGACAAGGCACCCTGAGGAGGTTCCTAACCCAGTCTGGGAGATCAGGGAAGGCTTCCTGGAGGTGGTGATGTCTGAGCTGAGGCCCAGAGGCAAAAGAGAGCCAGGAGAAGGGAAGGGGAGTAGGAAAGAGTGTTCTGGGTAGATGGACAGTTTGTGGTAGTGCTGGCTTATAGGAAGTGTGAGTGGTAGGGGCTGGAGGTGTGGGTGAAGGGCGCCGGGACTGCAGAGATGGATGGGCTTGGGTCGTTCAGGGCCTTGCTGCCCACACTAACAGGCTTGGCTGCTATCTGGAAGGCTAGAAGTTTCCCTCCAGCTTTGGAGGAGGGTGAACCTCAAGAGGCTGAACTGAGGGAGGGGCACCAGTGAGGAGGCAGCAACTGCCTGGAGGGAGACGAGAGACTTGGCCTCCAGTGCTGGGGGTGGGCGTGGAGAGCCATGGGCGCTTTGTGAAGTTTTTAGATGTAGAATTGGTTATGTATTGCTGTGTAATAAATCACCCCCAAACTTTGTGGCTTAAAGCAACAACTTATTTTTTTAGGATTCTCCGGGGGTGCTTCATGTGGTGACAGCCGGGGGGGGCACTGGGGTGGCCGGAGGGCTCCACAATGGCCTCACCCGCATGGCTGGTTGCCGGCTGGGAGTTCAGCAGGGGCTGCTGGCTGGGGGGCCCCAGCTCACCTCCATGCGGGTTCTCACGGCATAGCAGGTGGCTTCTGAGAAACAGACACTGTCGGGCTTGTTAAGGCCTCGGCTCAAAAGTCTCAGAAACATTCCTTCTGCTGCGTCCTGTTGGTGAAATCCAGCCCTAAGACCAGCCTGATTTAAGGGTTAAGGGAAACAGCACTTCTTCCTCTCTTCCTCCTCCTCCTTCTCCTCCCCTTCCTTCCTCTTCCTCCTCCTCCTTCTTCTGTACAGTTTAGTGGGATTTAGTGCATTCACAATGTTTTGCAACCAACATCTCTCCCTAATTTCAACTTTTTAATCACCTCATAAGAACACTCCATCCCCATTTTGCCATTACTCCCCGTCTCCCGCTCCCCAGTCTCTGACAACCTGCTTTCTGTCCCTGTGGATTTGCCTATTCCGGGTATTTCATGCAAAAGGAATCCTATAAATGAGAACTTTCCTGTCCGGCTTCTTTCACTGAGCATCATGTTTTCAAGGTTCATCCAAGTTGCATACATGGGTGCTTCACTCCTTTTTATGGCTGAACAATTTTCCATTGTATGGAATGACCATGATTTGTTTATTCATTCATCTGTTGATAGACATTTGGGTTGTTTCTACCATAATGTGAATCATGCTGCTATGAACATCAGTATATAAATACCTGTTTGAGTTTCTGTTTTACATTCTTTTGGGTATATACCTAGAAATGGAATTGCTGGGTCATATGGTCACTCTATGTTTAACTTTTTGAGGGACCACCAAGCTGTTTTCCACGGTGGCTGAACATTTTACATTCCCACCAGCATGTATGAGGGTCCCTATTTCTCCACATCCTTGCTGACATTTACTATTTTCTGTATATTTTTATTTTATTTTATTTAT